CCCCTTCTCCCGCGCCCACGACCCACAAACCCGACGCCGACCCTTCCCCTCCCCGGTACACACCCCTTCCGCGAAAGCGCTCAAGGCGCTGAAGGCGCTCTCGAGTGCGCTTTTGAGCACCACTCAAAAACTCGAGCGCTAGGCCCGCGCTCAATCAGCGCGCGGTTTCACAGGGGCGAGGCACTGGTGGTTGAAGGAGAGGAGGAAGGGAACCAAGATCTCCTTACTTTTTCAGGTAATACATGTAAAAAAAAAAAAAAATCGATGTGTTTTGAGTCTGGTTAGGTTTTTTATTTTTTTTAAATAATTTAAATGCTCAAAAAATAAAAATAAAAATATGGGGATGTAGAGCGCAAAAAACTCTACACCCCTATATTTTTTATTGGTTTTTTTTTAATATTTCTTGCCAGCGAAAAAAAATTCGCGGGTCGAGTTAAACCCCGTTCTAACGCGGTTTAGCGTGGAGTTGTAACGGGGGTTCAACGGGAGTTGAACCGTTCAACGGGAAACCCCCGTTGAATCCAATTTCGGACACATAGCAACTGGGGTATACCCCCAGCGGACTGACTTGACAGGACTGGACTGGCCTGGTACCTATAGTGGTACCGTCGTACTGGGCACGACTGGACTGGATTGGAACAGCACACGGCCTGTGGGGTCAGGCCACGGCCTGGTCCCACAGGCCGAACAAGAAAATAGCCCAATAGGCCCTGGCTGTAGGCCAGGGCAGATAGAGGCCCGCTGCAGGATCCTCAGACCTGTAGTGGATCGCAAGAGCCATAAACACGCTATCTGCAAAAGCAGTGGAACTCTGCAATAAAGAAAGGCTAGAAATCTAGAATGCGGAAGTCCATGTGATGCAGCCTAAGCTACATAATGTCAAATGAAAAGCAAATGTCTGGTATACACATCCTAACCAACAGTAGAAAATGAAATGTAACATGATACAATCCCAAGGTCTGGGGGGCAATTGCCTCAATGCTGAAAGGAAAAGAGACCAATATGTCACAAGCTACGTAACACACCGTACAGATACAGGTCGTCCATATGATGCATACTACAATCCTAATCGCTGACCCTCTCTCTCTCTCTCTCTCTCTCTCTCTCTCTCTCTCTCTCTCTCTCTCTCTCTCTCTCTCTCTC